AAAATCGGGGAATGGAACTCATGACCTCACGCTTGCCAGGCAGGCGCTGTGCCACTGAGCTATATCCCCAGCCCCCAGAGATGGCTTTTTAAATAAAATCGTGTTGCTGTAATTTCATAGTTGCTGCTATAGGTAGCTCAGTATTTTACAGGGCTAACATGAATCTGGCTCCATGTAGAAACTGAGTCATTTAGGGCAAGCAGCTGAGTGGAGCCGGCACCACAGTCTCCCCGCAGTGCTGACTGCTCTGTGTGGCCAATGCTTGCTTTAATATTCACCTGTAGTCCAGCAGCAGGGAGGTATGGGGCACCTTCTACCCTGCCAACTATGGTACTGTGAGTGTTTTTGGGCACTGGCATCTTCCCAAACCCTCAAAGGAGGTAATGCTAAGGAGGAAACGTGAAATAAATTACATAGGTGAGTGCTTTTATGTCCTCTCCTCCTTTCCAGGCAGGTGCTGTACCACTGGGCTGTATCCCCATCCCTCTACTCCTTCCCTAGAACCAGTACAACTGTGCCAGTCCCCAGTTCCCCAGCTTTGTACCCAGTCATCCTCCCATTCAAGGATGACTTCACCTGGTGACAGTAGCCAAAGCTAAATTAGTTGGCATGTTTGACTTTCAACAATAACAAAAATGGTTTTGGATTTTGTTTTATTTCTTAAAAATGTATACAGAGTCAAAACTTTGCATTTTATTTTATTTTATTTTATTTTTATTTTTTTTTTTGGTTTTTCTCTGGTACCGGGAACCAAACTCACGACCTTGAGCTTGCCAGGCAGGCGCTTTTGCCGCTGAGCTAAATCCCCAGCCCAAAACTTTGCATTTTATATACGAATATCTGGCTATTAGTATTTTACAGGAGCCATAGTTCTTGGTCGCGTGCGTGCGTGTACACAGACACACACACATTTGTGACTTTTTGTAAACTAAGTGCTGTTTTCCATTCAACATTACAATCATTTTTAGAGTTATTCTTTTTTTGTTTGTTTGTTTGTTTTTTCTGGTACCGGGAATCGAACTCATGACCTTGCGCTTGCTGGGCAGGTGCTGTGCCGCTGAGCTAAATCCTCAGCCCCTAGGGTTATTCTAATCAATGTGAATATCATGTTTTTCCAAATCTAGTGTAGTGTTTGCTTTGCGAACATATGTGCATTGTATAGAATCTGTATAGTTACATTGTACTGAAATATTAGCTTTGTTGTTGTTGTTTTGGTCTTTTTTTGGTACCAGGAATCAAACTCAGGACCTTGCGCTTGCCAGGCAGGCGCTGTGCCGCTGAGCTGTCTCCCCAAGCTATGTTAGCTTGTTTGATATAAGGAAAGTATGTATTGAGTACCGTTTTGCTAGTCTGATTGTTTAATGTTTTGTTATTTTTTGAACTTGGAGTCAAACTCAGGACCTCGTGCTTGCCAGGCAGGTGCTGTGCCATTGAGCTATACCCCTGTCCCCTCTTTAATCTTTTTAAGGAAGGTTTAAACTTAAAAAAATCTTTAAACCGACCTTTATTACATGGTCACAACGTTGCATCCGGAAGGGATGGACAAGGAAAAACTAGGCTTGAGTGTCTTTGGGTAGAAACATGAGCCTGAGGCTAAGACTTGTTTTTGTTTTGTTTTCTTCTTATTAAAATATCTTATTAATGCTTTTAAAAAAGATATAAAATAAACACATGAAATTGTATATATTATGCTGGGTGGGGTGGCACACACCCATATTCCCAGCACTCAGGCTGAAGCAGATGTGCAAGTTCCTCCTGCTCCAACCTCCCTGAGTGCTGGGATTACAGGTGTGCACAGGATGAATCTGCTGACCTCCTCTGTACTCTGATCTTGTCATTAGCCTGCTTGTCCCTAATAGGTACTTAGTGTTCTACATTTGACTGACTCTTAAGTCTATACAGATGAGTTTGAATCAAATTAAGCAAGGCTTAACCTTTCACCCTGTCTAAGTAAGATGAGGTCTTTTTTTGTTTGTTTGCTTGTTTGAGACAGGGTCTCGCTATGCAGTTCAGGCTGTAACACTTTCTCTTATGCACTCAAACCTGTGACAAAAAGTTTAATTTTTAAATTAGGCACAAGAGGATACCAATAAAGCCAGGTATGGTGGTGCACGCCTATAATCCCAGCACTGGAGGTGACAGGGGGGCTGAAGCAGGATTGCTGTGAGTTCAAGGCCAGCCTGCTGTGTCAAAAAAAGAAAAAAGACACAAATTATAATTAATAATCAAATGGAACAATTAGAACAATTTACTGTAATAAAAATTACATGAATTAAGTCTCTTGAAATAGTGTATTGTACTATGTTTTAATTTTTCAAAAATGTTTTTATGGTACTAGGGCTCCAACCCAGGGCCTGTGCACACTAGGCACATGCTCTATAACTAAGCTATATGCCTAGGCTTACAGCAAGTGTTCTATTTTTTTGTTTTGTTTTTTTGAGGCAGGGTCTACCTATATAGTTCAGGCTGCCCCTGAACTCACTATGTAGCCCAGGCTGGCCTCAAATTTGTGGCAATCCTCCTGCCTCAGCCTCCCAAGTGCTGCGATTACATGTGTGCCCCACAACGCCCAGCAATTGGTTTTCTATTTTTATATAAGGTCTGCTTATTTAGATGTATTTGGGTATATGGTATATTTTAAGTAAGTTTAACTGATGTATGGAAATTACTATTCATGAACAATGGCATAGTAATCTTTATTAATGATTGTTCTGGAAATTTAAATTTGAGTAGTTTTCTCTGTTTTAACGGTGTTTTTCTTCTAAAATTTTTTTACAAATAGGAGTATTTTCTGCATTGTGTGCTGTTCCCCGAAAGGAAGGATACCTTGGATTGTATAAAGGAAATGGTGCCATGATGATTCGAATCTTTCCCTATGGTGCAATCCAGTTTATGGCATTTGAGCAGTATAAAATGGTAGCTGACTTTTCCTCTTTTCTCTTTATCCTTAAATATCATACTTACTTGACCAAGAATTTTTTTCTTTGATATTTTTGTCTCTTTTGTCTTTTTTGTGGGGTGTGGCCAACAATTTGTATTTATTTATTTATTTATTTGGTGGTGCCAGGGATTGAACTCAAGTTCTTGTACATGTGTGTGCTTCGAGATAGTTAAAATGACTTTGGCTAGGTCTGGTGGCTCAACCCTGTAATCTCAGCACTCAGGAGGCTGAGGCAGGAGGATCACTGTGAATTCAAGCCCAGCCTGGGCTACATAGTGAGTTCAAGGCCTCCCAAGTGCTGGGATTGTTACATTTTAAATTATATTTTGTCTTTTTGTATGTGTGGTGCTGGGAATGGAGGGCAGGGCCTCCTGCAGACTTGGCCCAAGGTCTACCACTAACCACTGAATGACATTCTCTGCCCCCTAAAAAGGTAATTTAGAATGAAAGTGAGCAGCAGAAACAGGAGCTGCATGCCAAGCTGGTTTGTCAGAATTGATGCCATCAATGGCCAGGGTTCAAAAAAAAAATGGCCTGAGTTCATTGTCTATAGTAGCTTTTAACTCCTACTACCCCCCTTCATACTTTAAGGGTAGTAGTATATAGTATGGTCATTCTAAGATAACTTTAAGCTAGATTGTATCTGCAAAAGTACAGAAATGTAGGGACAGGGTATGGTGGTACACACCTGCAATCCCAGCACTCTGGAGTTGAGGCACATGGATCACTGGGAGTTCAAGGCCAGCCTGGGCTACATAGCAAGACCTAATCTCAAAAAGTGCACAAATTTAGGAAGAAGCTGTAGAAGAAATACCTCCTGATGTAATGAGATGTTGCCCAACTTTGTGTAGTTATACTCATTTTATTCACATCTATTACTACATTTTATTAGACCTGTACCTCTTTGAAATAAATCTTGATTATTAAGTGAAATAAGCAGCATTTAAAACATGTCTCATATAATTTTATGTATTTGGTTTCTAGTTGATTACCACAAAGCTGGGAATTTCTGGTCATGTGCACAGATTGATGGCTGGATCCTTGGCAGGTAAGAGGAATACTGTATTTGTTTGTTTGTTTTTTTGAGACAGGTCTTGCTGTGTAGTTCAGGCTGGACTTGAACTCACCAGGTAGCCCAGGCTGGCCTCAAACACTCAGCGATCCTCCTGCTTCAGCCTCCTGAGTGCTTCAGGGGATTCTTTTGCCTCAGTGCCCTGTTTTATTTGGTTTTCATAATTGCTATATTTTGAGAGTGCTACTAACTGTACAGAATATGTGTGTACTGTATGTATTGTTTTACATGCATAGATATATACATGTACATGTCAACACGTTTATTTATTTATTTATTTATTTATTTTTTCCAGTACCAGGAATCAAACCCACAACCTTGTGCTTGCCAGGCAGGCATTGTGCCACTGAGCTAAACCCCCAGCCCCCTCAACACGTTTTTTAAAATTCTTTTAGAGACAGGGTCTCATTGTGCAGTTCAGGCTGGCCTTAAACTCACTTTGTAGCCCAGGCTGACTTTGAATTCTCGGTGATCTTCCTGCCTCAGCCTCCTGAGTGCTGAGATTATAGGCATGCACCACCATGCCCAGCAACCAGTTTTTTCTAAGCTAGGCATAATGGTGTACTGTGGGAGGCTGAGGCAGGAAGGTCACAAGTTGAAGCCCAGCCTGGGCAATTTGGTAAGACCCTGTCTCTAAATAAAAAACTAAAAAAAACGGGCTGTGGCTAGGGCACAGAAAAGGCCCTGCCATTCTCCTGTCACCTTATGGGTCTCTTTGCAGGCATGACGGCAGTTATCTGTACCTACCCTCTTGATGTGGTCAGGGTGCGCCTGGCGTTCCAGGTGAAAGGGGAACACACCTATACAGGAATTATTCATGCCTTCAAAACCATTTATGCAAAGGTATTCTACACTTACTTTTCTCATATATAACATGTCCTTATTATTTAGGAAGATACTTGAATGGTATCTAATTGTTCTTTTATTTACAATATTGATATTAATAATAATCATTATGAAAGGTCATTTTTGTGTTTCAGGAGGGGGTCTCAGAAGAATGATTTTATTATGTTATATGCTTTTTGTCTTTAAGCATAATCTAATTTCACTTCCAATGTTCCTTCACTCAAAAGGAAGGTGGTTTCCTTGGATTTTACAGAGGCCTGATGCCAACCATATTAGGAATGGCTCCGTATGCAGGTATGTTTCAGATCTGGCAGGGTGTTACTTGTGTGTTTAGATTATGGCACCATTTTTTTTAAGGTGGGAACATGAAAAGATGCTGTCTGGAAAGTCCCCTTCACTTAGAAATGATGAAGATAAAATTATGAGCCATACATGATCCTGTAGTAATAGCTTGTGTGTAAAGGTGGCCACCCACACACTAGGATGAGAAATGCACATTTACTTCATGTTCTTAGTATCCGAGCAGCTGCGGTCTTGTTAGCTTGTACTTATTTCGGATTGTTGTTAAGTGTTCTGTTTTTATGCGCATGCTCATGAGAAGTAAGAGTTGAACTGTGTTTTTTTGTTCATTTTAAGTGGTGAAGACTTATGGGAAATTTAGAAAACACAGAAAAGTAGAAATATGATATCTATTACTTTATGTTGCACTTGTTAACTAATTTTTGAGTTTCAGATTATTGTAGATTTTCATGCAGTTGTAAGGAAATACAGACACATTGTGTGAACTTGTTACCCTATTGTTGGTGCCTCATAAAACCATAGTACACCACCCCTGGGGTACTGGCATTAATACTGTGTAGTCAGGAGACAGCATAGGAGCCTGGAGCTGTGGCCGGTGCCTGAATTCCCAGCTGCTTGAGCTGAACCAGGGGGATTCCAAGTTTGAGTCCAGCCTGGGCAAATTAGTGAAATCCTGTTTCAGAATAAAAAACGGAGGGCTGAGGAGGTCATGCATGGGTAGAGCGCCCCCTGTGGGCTGAGGATGTAGCTCAGTGGTAGTGTTTGTCCTGCGGGCTGGAGGCCTTGGGTCCCAAATTCAGCACTTTGCTTTTTGGCACTACTGGGGATTAAACCCCAGGGTGCTGAACCACTGGGCTATATCCTCGACCTTCTTTTATGTAGTTAAGTACTGGAGATTGAACCAAGGGCCTTCCCACTGACCTACCTCCCTAGCCCTTTTTGTATTTTCTTTTGAGACAGGCTCTTGCTAAGTCACCATGTTGTCCAGGCTGGGCTGGAACTTGTGATCCTCCTGCCCCAGCCTCTCAGAATGCTGGAATTTCAGGCCTGTGCCACCATGCCCAGCTCCAGGGCTAGCACTTGAAAAAAACCCACAAAAATAAATAATTCCTATTGGTATTACTTTTTTTGTTTTTCTTGGGGGTGCTGCTGGGGAGTGACCCCAGGATCCTGTACATACAGATAAGCGCTGTACTACTGAGCTACCTCTCTAGTCTGGAATTAGCTGATTTTTTAATTTTTGTGAATTTTGTTGGGCATATGAAGTAACTTTTCTTTTCTTCTTGGTGTGGTGTTAAGGATCAAACCCAGAGCCTCTGATGTCATAAGCAAATGCTTTACCGCTGAGTTACCCAAAAGTAACTTTCGAAGTTTTGTTTTGTTTTGTTTTTTAGAGGGGGAAAGGGTTACTGTAGCTCAGTCAGTCTGTAGTGGTTTCAGTTCACCGTAAGCTGGCTCCAAGGCAGGGTGGCCTGGCAGAGAGAGCTGCACAGGAGAAACAGTTCATAGTAGGCAGAAGGCACCACGGCTCCAAGCTACAAGCAGGAACACTGTTCCATCCCTCATACCTGATCCAGGTTACACGCCCTCAGGGCGGCAGCACTCACCCCCAGGATGGAGCACTTGGTCCGACATAGAGCTAGGCCGAACAATCAGGGGAGCAATCTAGCAATCACACGCCCACCCTTCATGCCAGCAGCACACACTCTAGCTCCAGCAATCTCTGAAAGCCTCACCTGTGAGAGCATGGGGCTTTGGGGAACATCTAGACACAAACTGCGACATTTTTCTGTTATATCACTAATTGCAGGCTTATCATTTCTTCATAAAATTTGCATATGTCTGGTTAAACATATGCATAAACATTTTATAGCTATTTTATGTTTTCCCATTGCTACTGTAAATAACATATTTTTCATTATATCTTCTATCTACTCATATTTGTACATGTAAAGGTTATTACTTTCTGCTTATTCATCTTACAGTCAGACATTTTCCAAATTCTCTTTTTAAGAATTTTTCTTCAGCCAGGGAACTTATGAAGTTTTATTTGTGTTTCCCTGATTAGCAATGAGGTTGAGCATCTTTTTATGTATTTATTCACCAATTCCATTTCGTTTTCTGCGAAGTCCTTGCTTATGTGTTGCCTACTTTCCTATTGAGTTTTCTTATTATATGCTGCAGATATCCGTTTGTGGCTTAGTGTTCGATGGTTAGTTTGTTTGTTTGAGACAGGGTCTTGCTATGTATTCCAGGGTGGTCTTGAACACAGTATGTAGCCCAGGCTGGCCTCGAGCATGAAGCAATCCTTCTGCCTCAGCCTCCCGAGTATAGTGCTTTTATATCACAGAGATATTTTTAAAGTTTACTATCTTGTATTTAAGCCCTTGATGCATCTGGAATTTTTTCCTCTTTCAGGAGACTTATCTGACCTTCTTTTTTTTTTTTTTAATCTTTTTGAGACAGGGTCTCACTGTGCAGTTCAGGCTGGTCTTGAACTCACTTCGTAGCCCAGACTGGCCTTGAATTCACAACAATCCTCTTGCCTCAGCCTCCCAAGTGCTGGGATTACAGGCATTACAGGTGTGCACCACCACGCCCGGCTCGACCGTTCATTGTTAGTGGTTCCTTTCTCTCATGATCTGCAATGCTATTGTTTCAAAAACAGACTATAGGTTTATAATGAGTTCTCTTATTTTATAAGGGCGTTCTTTACCTTATGCTTCCCTATTTTCACAAATGTCACAAAGTATAGATATTTTGCTATTCTATAATTTTATTCCGTTTTTTGTTTTTTTTTTAGTTCTTTTTTTAAGTTTTTGTTTTCTATCTATGATTTTTGTGTGTGTGTGCACCAGGAATCGAATTCAGGACCTTGTGTTTGCCAGGCAGGTGCTGTGCTGATGAGCTATATCCCCAACCCTATAATTTTTTTAAAAAGTAGCTTTTAGTCAGGCATGTTGACACAAGCCTATAATCTCAGCATTTGGGAGGCTGAGGCAGAAATATCTTGTGTTTGAGGGCAATCTGGTCTACCTAGAGAGTTTAGTGCCAGCCAGGATTACACAGCCAGATCCCATCTCAAAAAACCCAAGAACAAGCTGGGTGTGGTGATGTGTGCCTATAATCCCAGCAGTAGGGAGGCTAAGGCAGGAGGATCACCCTAAATTAGAGGCCAACCTGGACTACCTTAGGGAGACCCTGTCTCAAAAAACCTAAAAAAACAAAGAACAAAACCCAAAACCAAACAAACAATAAAAGCCAGGTGTGGTTGCAGATGCCTGTAATTCTAGCCATCTGAGAAACTGAAGCAGGAGGATGGTAAATTCAAGCTCAGTCTGGGCAATTTAGCAATGTGACAAGACCGTGTCTCAGAATTTAAAATAAAAAATGGATAAGGCTACAGCTCAGTGTGAAAGCTGTGGGTTCAGTTCCCAGTACTGCAGAGACAAGCTCTTCATGTTACACAGCAATCCTTAGGGCTCTGCATGGAATTTCTACAAGTGTTGGCATTTTTGTTAGATGTTTGTAGATCCTGTACTAATTTTGTTGTGTCTTTTATACCTTTATGTTTTCAGTTTATTACTTAATTTAGTTTTCCATGATATTATAGCTGGCCATTTTCTTTTATAGCCAGCGCCATATTACACATACTTGCTTTGGATTTGCTATGTAACAATCATATCCTGTGCAAATAACAGCCCTTCTCTTCCCTTCCCTTTTATTCTCTTCCCTCCCCTCCCTTCCTCTCCCTTCCCTTCCTCTCTTCCTCCCTCCCTCCCTCCCTTCTTGTGCAGCATTGAATAGATGTAATAATAACGGACCAGGCATGTTCGTGCATGCCTGTAATCCCATTTATTTGGGAGATGGAGATAAGAAGACTTTAAATTCATGGCCAGCTAGGGCAACATAGGGAGACACTGTGTCAGAAGAAAAGAAAGGAAAAGGAATGATGATGCACAGGCTAGCTTCAAACTCTTGGCAGTCCTCCTATGTCAGTTTCCAGAGTGCTTTGTTTTTTGAGACAGGGTCTCTCTCTGCAGTTCCTGCTGGCCTTGAGCTCACTTTGTAGCCCAGGCTGGCCTGTAACTCACAAGGATCCTCCTGCCTCAGCCTCCAGAGTGCTAGGATTACAGGTGTGCGCTACCATGCCCGGCTTCTAGAGTGCTTTGTACAGGTGTGCACCACCACAGTAAACTCAGTTGGCTAATTTTTGTTGTTGTTGTTGTTTTGAGACAGGGTCTCCTTTTGTAGTCCAGGCTGGACTTGAACTCGTTTTGTAGCTCAGGCTGGCCTCAGAATCATGATGATCCTCTTGCCTCAGCCTCCCAAGTGCTGGGATTACAGGCGTGTGCCACTATGCCTGACTTGTTTTGTTTTTTTGAGCCAGGGTCTCGCTATGTAAGTCAGGCTGGCCTTGAGCTCAACTGTATACAACAGGCTAGCCTCAAGTTCGTGCATCTGCCTGCCTTAGCCTCCCGCATGCTGGGGTTGCAGGCATACTCTTTTGGGACAGGGTCTCATTAAGCCCATAGTTGCCCAGGGTGGGCTTGAACTTGGTATTCTGCCTTGTGGGTGTGTGCCACCATGCCTGGTTCCTTTTTATTTCTTACTTTGAAACAAAGCCTTGCTAAGTTTCCCAGGCTGGCCTTGAGTAGGTGACCACCCTGCCTCAGCCTCCAGAGTGCTGGGATCCTAGGTGTGCATCACGGCCCTTACTCTCTGCACTCCTTTCCTGAGTTGTGTATCTCACTACTTTTCAGCCTTGTGTTTTTCCTATTATGAGTGTTTTTCTAAATTCTACGCCAGCTGCACTGTCAGTTTGTTACTTTATTTTCATTTAATATTTAGAAAGTTTCAAATGTTCAGAAGTAGAGGCGATAACTAGTGAACCACCATACCGACAAGGATGGCCCATTCATGAGCACTGCCCACCTCTTTGCTCAGTTACTCCCCCACATCATCCGCAGGGTGTGTGTGAGGTGCTGGGGTTAACATGCCAGACAAGCCCTAAACCAGGGGTGGCCAACCTTTTAGAGAGGAGTGCCAAACTGGCGTGGTGGCACATGCTTGTAATCCCAGCACTCGGGAGGCTGAGGCAGGAGGACTGCTAGGAGCTTGAGGCCAGCCTGACATAGTGAGACCCTGTCTCGAAAAAGAAAAAAAAAGAAAAAAGAGAGAAGTGCCCAAACTGCAACACAAAACCCATGTATTTATCATAAACTACCATGTCCTTAGCCACCAAATTATTTTATTTTATTTTATTTCCACCAAATTATGTTAAACAAAATTCACTTTATTATTTCATTCATATTTTAGTATTTAATTGTCTTTTTTTTTTTTTTTGAGACAGGGTCTCACCATGCAGTTCAGGCTGGTCTTGAACTCCTTTTGTAGCCCAGGCTGGCCTCAAACTGGCAATGATCCTCCTGCCTCAGTCTCCCAAGTGCTGGGATTACAGGCGTGCGCCACCATGCTTGGCACCAGTATAAAACTTTAAAATTCCTTCCTTTCTCCCTTTCTTCCTTCCATACTAAGGATTGAACCCAGGGCCTTAACCCTGAGCTAGATCCACAGGCCTTTTCATTTTTGATATAAGGTCTTCTAAGTCACTGAGTTATCCGGGCTGGGCTAGAACTTGGGATCCACTGCCTCAGCCTCCCAAATGCAGGGATTCCAGTTGTGTACCACCACACCTGGCTCATCATCTTATTTTCTATTCTCCCATGATTTATGTTTTAGTATTTCTTATGTAATCATTAGTAACTGCAGGGTTTTTGTTTGTTTGGTTTTTTTGAAGGTGCTTGAGATTGAACCCAGGAGCAACCATGCGTAAGGCAAGCACTGTTTCACTGAGCTTCAGCCATAACTAGCTGCCTATTCTTTTGTTTTTGGTTTGTTTGTTTGGTACTGGAAATCAAACTCAGGACCTTGCGCTTGTCAGGCAGGTGCTATGCTGCTGAGCTACGTCCCCAGCCCTAGCTGCCTATTTTTAAAAACTCGTTCTGATAAGTATTTTAATTTCCAGTTATTCTACTTAATATTTGTTGTGATTATTGATACATTTGGGTTGATTTCTGTACCTTCATATGTGATTCTATTTGCTGATTTTCTTTATATGTTTCTTTTTTCACTACTTTCTTTGCTTATTTTTCTGCATTCTCTTTTACCTCCTCTTCCTCTTCTTTTTCTTCTTCTTCTCCTTCTTCCCATTCTTCTCTTCCTTTTTCTTCTACTTCTTTTTTGATTGTTTTTTTTTTTCTTTTTTTTACTTTTTTTGAGAAAGGGTCTCGCTCTGCGGTTCAGGCTGGCCGACCTCACTTTGTAGCCCAGGCTGGCCTTGGACTCACAACAATCCTCTCCTGCCTCAGCCTCCCAAGTGCTGGAATTACACTGGGATTACAGGTGTGTGCCACCACGCCCAGCTTCTCCTCTTCTTTTCTGAAACAGGGTCTCACTATGTAGCCCAGGCTGCTCTTGAATTCATGGCAGTCCTACTGCGTCAGCCTCCTAAATGCTGGGATTACAATTTTTCTGCATCCTTACTTCCCTTTTATAAATATGCACATTTTTCCCTCCTTTTCTCCTTCCTTTCCTCTTCTACTCTTTCTTCCTCCCTTCCTCCATACTGGGAATTGAACCAGGGCCTTTGTCTTTTTTTTTTTTTTTTTGAGACAGGGTCTCACTCTGCAGTTCAGGCTGGCCTTGAGCTCACTTTGTATCCCAGGCTGCTTTTGAACTTGCAAAGATCCTTCTGCCTCAGCCTTCAGAGTGCTGGGATTGTAGGTGTGTGCCACCACACCCGGCTAGGGCCTTTGTACTAAACTACATTCCTAGCACTTTTTAAATTTTGAGACAAGGTCTTACTAAGCTGCTCATATTGGATTTGAAGATTTGAATTATAATTCTCCTGCCTCAGCCTCCCAGTTTGCGGGGATTACAGGTGTGTGCACCTTGCCAGGCTGTGGAGGTGGGGGGGACTTGTATTAGAAGCTCATTGTTTGATGTTGATCGCTGAGTACTCAGAGGTCTAACCTGGGACTGCTTCCTTCCAGAGAATATTCATTCCCCTTCTGCTCCAGGTTTCTGCTGAGAATTAGACGCTTCAGGAGTTTCTAATTCTTTTTTTTGTTTGTTTGTTTGCCCCCGCCCCGTACTGGGAACCGAACTCATGACCTTGCGCTTGCCAGGCAGGTGCTATGCCACTGAGCTAAATCCCCAGCCCGGGAGTTTCAAATTCTGAGTCTAGAGCCCAACAGCAGGTTCTGTCTCCAGGGCTTGTTCCCCCAGAGAGAGTGGCCGCCCTTGTCTCTGGCTGTATGGGGGTGGGTGGGGATGCTGGAGTGATTCTTGTTTGTTTGTTTTGTGTTTGAGACATTGTTTTTGTTTTATATAGCCCAAACCGGCTTCCAAATTACCTGGAATTACAGGTGTGCATCACCATGCCTGGCTGGGGTGATTCTTACAGTCTCCCCATCTTGTTTGCAAGACCAGTGGTGGATGTGGTTGTTGTGTGATGACAGAGTTTCTTAGAATACTCAGATTACTGTTAGGCTGGAATCAGAACTTTTTTACTTTTTGCCTATTCATCTCAGTTTTTTAGTTTTTGTTCATAGTTCTCTCTGCCCCCACCTCTTTTATTTAAGACAAGCTCTCATGTAGTTCAGGTTGGCCTTAAACTCACTGTGATCCTCCCGCTTCAGCCTCCCAAGTGCTGGGATTACAGGCATTTGCCATTGAGCAAGGCTCCCTCACCCCATTTTGTAGAGGGCATCGAAATTCCCTCTGCTGGCCTTGAATTTGTAATCATCCTGCCTCAGCCTCTTAAGTAGCCAGAACTACAGGTTTACACCAGTCCTGGTTTGTCCTTCTTTTCACTTGTGCTTGGGATTGCCTGCTAGGCAAGCACTCTACCACTGTTTTAAGTTTTCTTTTAATATGTTATCTCCAAGTTGCCTTGGCTGGTCTTCAAATTAATGTCCTCTTGCTTCAGCCTCCCAAGTGCTGGGATTATAGGCATGCACCACCATACCTGGCTCATTTAAGTATTCCTGATTTTTTTTCTAGTTCTATTTAATTTTCTATGAATTTTCTTGTAATAAACTTTTTAAGTCCTTAGAACATATTCTGTAAATATAAAAGTATATGAAAAAAATAAAAGTATATGAGTATTCTAAAATTATATATCATCTTAAAATACCATAGATTATATGAATTTATTATAAGAAGAAATGCAAGCTGGGCAAGGTGCTGTGTGTCTGTAATGTGAGTGCTCTGGGAGACTGAGTCAGGAGGATTGCAGGTTTAAGACCATCTTGGGCAACTTAGTGAGAACCTGTCTCAAAATAGAGAAGTAAAAGAAAATGCCTATTTGGAGGTGTCAGTCTGGCTTAGGCTGAATATTTACTGATACTTGCTTGTTTTTCTTTTTCTTTTGGTGGTACTAGGGATTGAATCTGGGCCTTTCTCACTAAACTACATCCCTAGCCCTTTTATAATTTTTTTAAATTTTGAGACAGGGTTTCAGTAAGTCAGTAAGTTGTCCAGGCTGGGATCAAACTTACTATCCTCCTGCCTCAGCCTCCCAGAGTACTGTGCTGGGATTACGGGTTTGTACCACAAAGTATGGCTTGAATTCTGCTTCATCTTCTTCTTCTTTCTTTCTTTATTTATTTTTTGTCTTTTTGAGACAGGGTCTCACTATGCAGTTCAGGCTGGCCTTGAGCTTACTTTTTGTAGCCCAGGCTGGTCTTGAACTGGCAATGATCCTGCTGCCTCAGCCTCCTGAATGCTGGGATTACAGGCATGTGTCACCAAGCCTGACCTTTTTATTTAATTTTAAAGAGAAAAGAAGCTGGGCACTGTGTCAAATGTCTGTAATCCCAGCACTCAGGAGGCTGAGGCAGGAGGATCATTACCAGTTTGAGGCCAGCCTGAACTGCATAGTGAGACCCTGTCTCAAAAAGACCAATCAATCAATCAATCAATCAATCAATCAATCCTCAAATTTTAATTTGAGTTAAAATCAAAATGCTTTGTCATCTGAATTTTGTGCTTTATATTATCACTGTTGTTGTAAATATAAGTTCTCATATTTACTCATAGTTATTAGTCATGAATTTAATTTTCTTTTATGTGAAACTTGGGGAAACTGTTAAAGTCTACTCATCTATAAGGCAGCCTCAGCCAGGCGTGGTGGTGCACACCTGTAATCCCAGCCCTCGGGAGGCTGAGGCCGAAGGATCACCACAAGTTTGACTCCAGGCTGGGCTACACAGTGAGTTCAGGACCAGCCTGAACTACATAGTGAGACCCTGTTTCAAAAAAAAAAAAAAAAAAAAGCAGCCTCCCTTCAATGTGCAACATACTAGTGTGTGAAAACCAGTGATTACATTTCTTGTGGTGTCAGTTTTGTCAACGTTAGTGTTTATAAACAGGAAATAATTTTATTTGACATTAAGCGAAGCAGCCAAAATTAGGAAGTGGGGAGTTAGTTCCTGGAGTTAATTGGTTATTATGTAAGAGATGTCCTTCACAGCTCATGTTCTATTAAGCATCATGGTGAATTTATATTTTGTTTTCCAGGTGTTTCATTTTTTACTTTTGGTACCTTAAAGAGTGTTGGGCTTGCCCATGCCCCTACCCTTCTTGGCAGACCTTCATCAGACAACCCTAATGTGTTAGTTTTGAAAACTCACATAAATTTACTTTGTGGTGGTGTTGCTGGAGCAATAGCACAGACAATATCGTAAGTTCCATCAACTTTTCAAACTATAGTTACCCAATCCTGATTTTTACATTGCTTACTCATTTTATTTTTTGCTAATATATTATTCAAAAATGTGATCCTTGCCAAAAATTAATATAAACTTTTTATAAGTATTAATCCTTTTTTGCCTTCATTTTAAGCACATTATAATATGCCAAATTATATGCCAAATTGATCAAATTAATTTGAACCCACTCAATTTGTTATAAATTCATTTAAAGGAAAGAGCTGGGCATGGTGGTGCAGGCCTGTAATCCCAGCACTTGGGAAGCTGAGGCAGGAGGATTGTCCTAAATTTGAGACCAGCCTGGGCTATATAGGGAGTTCAAGGCCAAGATGAACTAGATAGTGAGCCCCATCTCAAAAAACCAAAAAAACAAAAACAGAAACAAAAACAAAACATGATCTATATTTTCTTATGAATTTGCATGAAGTTTCCAAAGTTTGAATCATTGTATGTGTGTGTACAAGGCGATGCAATTTGTCTTTTCACTCTATTTTTTTTTCACTCTATTTTTTTTGGGGGGGTTACTGGGAATTGAACTCAGAACCTTGTGCTTGCCAGGCAAGTGCTTATGCTACTGAGCTATATCCCCAGCCCCTGCAACTTCTCTTACATTAGATCTTGGAGGCTTACTTTGATCAGATAGTATAGTAGGCACTGGAGAAGTCATTGAAGAAATAAATAAAGCTGGTATTTTTAAGACAGCAGCAGAATCGTCCTACTCTAACTGGGTTTAGAGATAATATGCATATGGGGAACAAGGATAAAGGAATCACTCTAACTGGAAAGAAAGGTGGCTTCCAAGAATTTCTCAAGCCTAGGCCAAGAGAAATCAAGTGAAGTGAGGTAGAAAGAGGCTGGAAAGTTAAATAGAAACTTTTCAGAAATAGAAAATTTTCTGTGACTCAGAAAAAATATCCTGAAAAACAGGAAGGCAAGGAATTAGTAGTATCACAAAGAAGTACAAAAAGATTATCCATGTAATCTCAGCTATATGGGACATTAAGGTAGGAGGGTTATAAATTCTGGGCCACTCTGGGCAATTTAGCAAGGCCTGTCTCAAAACCAAAAATAAAAAGGTCTGGGGATATAAAGACCTCAGGTTCAATCTCCAGTACTGGGGGATAAAAGTATACAGTGGAAAAAGAAGAGTAATGTGTTCATTGGGCTTCACAGCTTGGGTTACACCTGAAAAAGCGAGTCAGTGTATTTGTGGGGGACCAGATTATCCTAGATTCAGAGTTAAAAAAAAAAAAAAGGTGTTTAGTTTACTTTTAGAAATGCATCTGTGGGTCTGGGGATATAGCTCAGTGGCATAAGTCCCTGCCTGGCAAGTAAGTACAAGGTCAAGTTCGATTCCCAGTACCAAAAAAAAAAAAAGAAAAAGAAAAAGAAAAAGAAATGCATCTGTGGAGTCCTGTTCATTTATGGAGAAATGATTGCCTCTAGCTATTCTGATTCTTTCCTGGGCTTTATCACCTCCCTTTCTTTAGTATTAACTCCCAATTTAGATGCTTAAAACCTGCCCCCCTTTTGTTTCTGAGACAGGGTCTTGTTATGTAGTCAGATTGGCCTTCAACTCACTAAGAAGCCCAGGTTGCCCTTAAACTCATAGCATACTCCTGACTCAGCTTCCCCGAGTTCTGGAATTACAGGTGTGGCCCACCACTTTGAATACTAGTAAACTGCTATGTTACCTAATGGTAGTTTGTATCCAACGAAGTCTGATCTGTGTTTCTGGAGTCTCAGTAATCTCGTTTCTAATTAAGAAATCAGATGAAGATGTGCCCCCCAAATTGCCACCTCTGATCTCCCACTGCTTACACTATATCCCCACCTGTGTGTCCAGATCTAATGAGTGCCCCACTGTCTTTCAGTTCTTGTGCTATCGTGACATCGTCTTCTCTTCTCAGCTGTCTCCCTGACTCATAGCCTCCTCTTCCTCCGAGCCAGACTTTCGTCTTCTGCTGTCTAAGTCAGGGTCTGTAACACCTTGTCTGTCATCATGGTTTCGGTACATGCACAGAAAACCACATCTGTTTACACCGCCCTCCCTGACACCCCATTTCATCTACCAAGCATCAGCAAAAACCCTACGCTGCCCATATTTCTCTTCAGGGCTAGGTGTGCATGCCGGAGCTCCCAAGTTAGTGGTCAGCACTGTGAAAGCAAAACCCAAATATTACGTTCTGGTGTGCTTCACAGTATCATATCTTTTTTTTTGTCTTTTTGAGACAGGGTCTCGCTATGCAGTTCAGGCTGGCCTTGAGCTCACTTTGTAGCCTAGGCTGGCCTCGAACTTACAACGATCCTCCTGAGTGCTGGGATTACAGGCGTGAGCCACCATGCCTGGCCCCATTTGCATTTTAATAGTAATTTTTTTTTTCAACTCACCACCTTGCTCTTGCCAAGCAGGTACTGCGCCGCTGAACTATATCCCTGACCTTTAATAGTAAACTTGAATGTAGAATTATTTTCAGTATACATCACTCTTACCCATATTAGATGCCATGGAGAACTTCACAGGAGAGTGAGAGCAGCTGCTTAGCACTGCAGCGCACGTCTGCACGTCACGCAGTTGTGGAGGGGAGGTGAGACTGTGCGCATGAGTCCTTGCGCAGGACCTGAACATGGTGTTGGCAAAATGAAAGGCGCTTTAACAATCACTCCTAGAGCTGGGCAAAAAGGCAAAAAAAATCACTCCTAGGAGAGACTGTTTTTGAAAGTCTAATTTTTTCTGCCCTTCAGATGCAATTCGTTGTGCATTAGTTCTAGCTCTTAAAGAAACGTTCTACTGTAATCAGGAGGACGTGCTGAACTGGTAGTAGTTCCCAGCTGGACTCTCAGTAGTATCCAGTGGACATTTGTCTGTGTCTGGAGACACTTTTGCTGTCAGAGCTGGGGGCCGCTACTTTAGTGGGCAGAGGCCAGGGAGGCACTTAAACTTTTCTTGTATAATTCTATTTTTAATAATGACCATGGCACTTAAACATCTTAAAAATGCACAAAACAGTCCTCAGCAACAAAGGATGGTTCAAATGTCAGTAGTAGCAAACTGGAGTGCTGTAAATGCACCACCACCCCCCCCCAGCGGGGCAGGGGATGGCTGCAAGTTCATGGCCAGCCTAGGCTAGGTCGTTCACCGGTAGGCTGGACAACATAGCCTGTTTTAAAAAATAAACAACAAAATAAAGTGGGGAAGCCCTGATAAAAAGCACTGTTTCTTTCTTCAAGAATTGGCATTTAATTTGTCCTTAGAGAGTGTACAGATCTTGATATTGTGATGGAACAGAAGACTCCTCTGAGAAAGGAAGGAGATCCTGTATATATGGTTCATTGATTTTGTTTGTTTTTGTTTTGTTTTTTGAGACAGAGTCATGCTATATAGTTCAGGCTGGCCTTGAACCTATGGCAGTCTTCCTGCCTCAGCTTCCTGAGTGCTAGGGTTACAGGCATGTGCCACCATGCCTGGCTGGCTCATTGATTTTTTCATGTGCTTGTTTTTTTGTTGTTGTTGTTTTTTGTTTTGTATTTTTTTGGAGATAGGGTCTCGCTATGCAGTTGAGGCTGACCTTGAGCTCACTTTGTAGCCCTGGCTGGCCTCAAACTCGCAACAATCCTCCTGCTTCAGCCTCCCGAGTGCTGGGATTAGAGGAGTGTGCCACCACCCCCGGCTTTTCATGTGCTTGTATCCTGATTCCTAGATTAGACAAAACAATAAGAGTATAGGGACGTATTATTTCCTGGTGTATATGAGACTTTCCATTCAGTGGTGGTTGGGTAGAGAATGAAAAATTATTTTTAAGTCTTTGTGCCTTTTTCTCTTATAGCTACCCATTTGATGTAACTCGTCGGCGAATGCAATTAGGAACTGTTCTGCCAGAATTTGAAAAGTGCCTGTAAGTTCTCCATATGTCACTGGTCATTTTCTTTGGGAAATGTAATTTTTTTTTTTTCTTGTCTTTTGAGATAGGGTCTCGTTGTGCAGTTCAGCCTGGCCTTGAGCTCACTTTGTAGCCCAGGCTGGCCTCAAACTCAGAGTGATCCTCCTGCCTCAGGGGAAATGTAATATTAAGGTCAGTAGGAAGACAGGACTGTGGTCTCAGCAGTAGTTTTTATCTTCCATATTATCTTTTTTTGTACACTGTGCTAATCTTAGAAGGCTTCTCTCAGGTCTCAGTTCTTTTATCAAAACTTCTATATTTTAGCAGGGTGCAGTAGTGCCCACTATAATCCCAGCACTAAGGAGGCTGAGGCAGGAGGATTGACGCAAGTTCAAGATCTAGGCCAGCCAGGGATACATAGTAGTTTAAAGCCAGCCTGAGCTACATTGCAAAATTCTATCTCAAAAAAAGAACAGCTCTGTTAAATAGAAATATAAATGAGCTTGCTGGGCATGGTGGCATATGCCTATAATCCCAGCACTCAGGAGGCTGAGGTAGGAGGATTGCTGTGAGTTTGAGGCCAGCCTGAATTAGAGTGAGACCCTGTCTCAAAAATAAATAAATAGGGGCTGAGGGATTTAGCTCAGTGGCAACAGCGCCTGCCTGGCAAGCGCAAGGTCGTGAGTTTTATTCCCGGTACCAAAAATAAGTAAATAAGTAAATAAATAAATAAAATAGGAATAAAAAATTGGAGATGTATAAGTGAGCTACATGTGTAATTTAAAGTTTTCTGGACCTGCTGGACATAGTAGTGAACCTGTATCCCAATACTTGGGAGGCAGAGGCAGGAGGACCACCTTGAGTTTGAGGCCAGCCTGGGTTACATAGTGAGTTCAAGGCCAACCTGGATTACACAGTGAAACCCTGTCTCACACACACACAAAAAAAGTTCTGGGCCAGGCATGGTAGCACATACCTATAATCCCAGTACTCCAGAGGCTGAGGTAGGAAGATGGCTGTGAGTTCGAGCCCAGCCTAGGCTATATGGTGAGCTTAAGGCCAACCTGGGTTCATAGTAAGATCCTGCTTCAAAAAGCACAAAAAATAAGATAAAATAAAATTTTCTGATAGCCATGTTTATACAAGGTATAGTTCAGGTTGGCCTCAAACTCATGGCAGTCCTCCTGCCTCAGCCTCCAGAGTGCTGGGACTACAGGTATGGGCCACTACACCTAGCCAAAATTTTACTTCTTGTTAGTACATGCTTGCAGTACATAGTGACTACATTCATCATGGGGTTAGCTCCTTTTAAAAATGTTTTCTTAAAAAAATAAAATGCTATTTTAAAATGCTGAGCTCATTGCTTCATGAATGGCATGAAGTGTCCCCCTGACCCGCTGTCTTTCAGTACCATGCGGGAGACTATGAAGTATGTCTACGGGCACCATGGGATCCGCAAGGGGCTGTACCGGGGTTTATCTCTGAATTACATCCGCTGCGTTCCTTCTCAAGCCGTGGCTTTTACAACGTATGAACTTATGAAGCAATTTTTTCACCTCAACTAAAAAAAATTGTTGCTTGGGGTTTCTTGTCCTTCATAAGCTCTGGAAGGAAACATTGAATGCAGGAGAAGCATTACTTGAAGGGGTTATTGACCCTAGCACAGGAACCACTTCTCTTTTAATACTTGATTTTTTTTTTTTAAGTCAGAAATCAAAAGTGCTTAACTGACTTTTTGATGCCAATCGTTACATCTTAGAACACTGAAAAAAACCTCCTCAGCTGATGCCGGCTAATCAGTTAGGTTATTTGAAACTGGTAAAAGTATCATTTGGAAGTGCAGTGTCTGTAACTTCATAATGGAGGTCAAGAGACTGCCATTAGCTTTATTATACTGTTTCAAGCTTTTCATTGTAATCATGATTTTTTTCTTTCTTTTTTGTGTGTGCTGGGGACCAAATCCAGGGCCTAGAACATGCTAAGCATGCAGTCTACCACTGAGCTACACCCTAAGCCTGTAATCATGATTTTGTAAAAACTCTAACCTTGTTTATTGTTAAAATATGCAGGCTTGGCTGAGTTGCAGCAGAATGATGAGAACAGAATTTTTAAGTTCTAACATTTCTCTTCTTATAATTCTGCTTGACTGGATAAAAGGAGAAATGCTTTTCCTTCATTTTCAAGTAAAACAAATGTGTTTAAAATGTTGTATTAGTAAATTAAGTATCAGGTTTTGGGCAAATGTTATGACTGGGTATGATGAGTGATTTACATGTATTTTTAAAAGTCACTGTATTTCTCGCAGGCAGTTACAGTACAGAGAGTCTTTGTTCTCAAAAACAGAGTAGCACCACAATTATGTTTTGTTGGATGGCTTGGTATACACTAGAGAACTGAAAGTGAACCGTGAAATAGCCATTAACACAGACGTGACCATCAAAGGATGTTTCTAAGGATGTTTCTAAGGATGTTATGTCAACTAGTTCTCCCATGTAAAGTCATTTTAGTGCCATATGAACTTATGCAGAAACATAAAATATGATTTGATTACTATCCTTAACATTAAGAAAATTGTTGAAAATGTAACAATTCCACTTACTGTGTTTAGAGCACTTTTATGGTTTATTGTAAGCATGACAGAAATAGGAAACGGACAGCTCAAGTTCCATATTTAAAATAGTGACATGTAGATCTGATGTGATCTTGAAGATACCAGAAAACTAAGTTGAAAGTGTTATTTCTGGGGCTGGGGATTTAGCTCAGCGGCAAAAAGCGCCTGCCTGGCAAGTGCAAGGTCGTGAGTTCGGTTCCCGGTACCGGAGAAAAACCAAAAAA